TGCATGTTTGGTAATGGTTAAGGACATCCGTCTATATTAAATACAAGAGTTTTCTGCAAATAAATCTTCTAATTGGTTATGATTTGCAATCAACCCTCAAAGTGATTTTGTAAAATCTAAATATTTTAAATTTTCTAAGATAATTGTTTATGATTAAGAAATGAAGTGAATCTCATCCATGCAATTGTCTCCAAATGTTTAATTACTTCTAATTTTGATATTTCCATTTAGTTCAATAGAGTTGAGTGAATTAAAAGAATTGAAAGATTTACTATAATATTTAAATAGTTATGTATATTTTAAAAAACTTGTTAAATATTTATTTATGTGTTAGAGGGGTATTTTAAATATTTATATATTTAAAGATTTGTAAAAATCTTCTGGAAAGGTACATTTCACTCTTATTATTTTGTGGATTTTTTTATCTTATATATGAATTTTTTTGCTATTGGTTGATTATATAATTATATCCAAAAATTATATATGAATTCTTGTGTTATTAGTTTACATCCATATATAGTAAAAATTCCCTATGATTATGTAGAATCTAAATATTTTCTTTGATGATTGTGATTAAGATAATGATTTAAATCTCATCAATATAATTGATTACAAATGTTTAGTTACTCACATTTTTGAGTTTTTTATTTAATTAAATAGAGTTGATTGAGTACTTAAATATTCTTTGGAGATTTAATATAATATTTAAAGAATTATGTATATCTAAAAAAACATGTTAAACAGACTGTATTATAGGGGTATTGGTTGATTGATTTGTAAAGACTTTCAAAAAGGGTAGAATACATTGCTATTATTTTTTGGATTTGTATTTTATTATGAATTCTGGTGTTATTGGTTGAATGGGTATATAATTCTATTCAAAAAATAAAAACAAAATTTGAGATATGCCACATGTCTCATGTCACTTTGCAAAAATGCCATCTTTTTGTAAGTTTTGCAAAAATGTCATTTTCTTTTTTTCATATTCCAAAAATACCCTCTTTTAAAAACTGTCTCAGA